TCCGGGTTTCCAAAAACCGGCCTGCGCCCGGACATGTTTCCCATTTGCGCAAAACGGAACTCACCCTGATTGAGTTGAGGCCCTTTTGATTTCGCGTATGGAGGAGAATCTTTTGTAAAGCCGAGAAGTACAGTTTTTTAGCAGCCGGTTTGAGGAGAAACGAGGTTAAACATACGGGTTTTTGCCGTCGAAGTGGGAGCGAGAGGCCTCGTTTCACTCGCTTAAAAATGGGTAAAAGAATTAGGTTTTGGCGGTAATAAAGGGAAACGAGCACCCAAAAAATTGGGAGGGGGCCGAAAGGGCACCCAGGGGGTTTTGGGAGCAGCGCAAACAAGGGGGAGGGGCCCTGGGTGGCTGGCCCGGGTATCTAGGGAAAAGTTTCTTATCCCTTTGAAAAGTCCTGTGTACAAATTTTTTCCCCCAGTTTTTCTCCCAAATGCAATAAAATCAAATGGCCCGGGAAAAAACCAAAGTAACTTGTCGCCCGGTCGCCCGGCACGTGATGTTTAATTAAAGCTGCCGTGGCGACTTTTTCCCTCACAGTACCCCCTTCAAAAACCATAAGTCGTTTGTCTCGGGCCCCAAAAGTATAACACATCGGTAATCCCGTGCAGGGGGGAACCACCCCTGAGTGTCAAAAACTAGGTGGGCCCACCCCCGAAATTTTTAAAATGGGGCCAAAAGGGTTTGTCGACAAGGTAATTTTATGAGATGGAGATCCCCGCTTATTCCCCCGTGATTTTATTCCTAAAGGGTTGTTGATTTGTCTGTTCAAAGACGATATTTTGCTTGTCGTGTACAGTACAGTAAAATTTTTTGTTGTTGAACATTCGGGCGCCGCTTTTTGGGGAAAAACAGTTGGATGTCTTATTTCGGTAAATAGACAATATGTTTATTTCCCAGGTTTTGGTTTTTTTTTAATGGTTTTAGCGGCCCCTGTGAAAGGATCGCTCGCCCCCAAAACGGAGTCGCGACGCACGGGTTTGAAAAACACCTTTTTCTTGGTTTCCAGTTACGTCTGCGTGATCTGTAATTGGTGGCATCATTCTCTTGTCTTTCCATAACGTTTATGTAGACCAACTTTTAATGCTGATTTTGCTGTTTTTATTTTTTATTTTTGGGTCGCCGAGTCAGTAGCAGGGTTAATAAAATATATCTTTGTTTCACTTCAACGAAAGTTAAATACTTTCAAAAACAAATACCGGGGGAAAATGTGAAACATAAAATGAGACGAATTACAGATGAGTGAAGAAATGGGAGACAAGTCCAGGCACCCACTAGTATCAAGAAAATGGCGTTATATATACTGGACACATTGTAAGAGCAGAGAATCAATCACTAGACACTGAAACTGGGCAAAAGGGGACTGAAGAGGCGGGAATGCCAAACAGAAAACCTAAAACAAAGGTTGGTTTGAGGGCTTAAGGTACTCAACTGCATTCCATGTAACATATCGAATTGATTGCACAGAACAGAATGGAATGGGGAAATAGATGTGATTCATGCTCGACAGATAATGACACAGCAAGTTAATGAATGTTTTACTACAGTTTGAATTGCAAAATGACAATCCAACACCTATGATCTTTTTTTCACGAACTGGGTTCTCGTGGAAGTTCTCGCTACCGTAATCCATTTGTTTCCCATTTCTATGCTTGTCCGTGTCTTGTTCACATCCTATAAGCTTCATTGGAGCTGAATAAGTTCTAACGCCTCAGAAGTATTAGTCAAGCGAATTTAATAGTGTGTAGTGTACTCTGTTCGTCATTGAAAGATTTACACCACATTTAACAATATGAAGGAAACAGAAACCATGACGTTGAATCGATGAAAAATATGAGAAAGTTACAAGGTGGTTCTGCACACTGGACAAGATGCAAAGTCACCGAGAAAGACGCAAAGAAACAAATTACTAAGAGCAGCAAAAACACTGACAGAAACCAATCAAATGTTTTGATTACTCGTTTTCTTTTTTGTACACCTTCAGATGCCAGCAGTGTGAAAGTACTTAAATAAAGCAGCAGTCACAATGAATTTGTAAACATCTCAATAAAGTCTCCCCCCCCCCCCAACCCCCCAAACACACTCACACATACACACACACACACACACACACAAACATACACATGGAATGGGTCTCGACTAGAAAAGCGCTCTTTGACAGTGTTTGACACTTGTGCAGCAAATATTTGGCTGCCATTTTACATTTTGATTAGTTAATGTCTCCTGTCTTTAGTTCATAAAACTTGTTAGGTTTGGTGTGACTAGTTCATGAAACTAGTGATCTGTGATTTGTGTGGTGTCAGAATATTACAGTACAACATCACCCACTATTACTGTGAAATATTGTTTCATTACCACGCCAATGTTGGTTTGTCTAGGCTCATACATGGTGGAGTTAGAGGATGAACCGGAACTACATTTTATCCAGACCTTGATAGCAGACTCAGGCGAGCAGTTCTGGGTTGGGCTTGATTACGTCACTGCTGCCAAAAGTGAGTAGTCGTCTCTAGTCTACATACCGTCGTCGCAGACTAATAGACTACATCTGCTAGGCTAAGTCAAATATCTCCTACACTAGGTCAAATATCTATCTCTACATTCCTTCACTGGGGATGTTTAGACTAGGTCAAATATCTATCTTTATATTCCTTCACTAGACCCTTCTAGACTAGGTCAAATATATTCTTCAGTAGGCCAAATATCTATCTCTACATTCCTTCACTGAACACTTCTAGACTAGGTCAAATATATTCTTCAGTAGGTCAAATATCTATCTCTACATTCCCTCACTGGACACTTTTAGACTAGGTCAAATATCATCTATACAAGGTCAAAAATCAATCTATACATTTCCTCATTAGAGACTTCCAGACCAGGTCAAATATTTATCTATGCATGCCTTCACTGCAGACTTCTTGACTTTTTGTCAAAGAATGGCATCTGTTGGTGAAGACTGTTATCTGTTGTTGAAGTCTGTTATCTGTTGTTGAAGATTTTCACCTGTTGAGGATTGTCATCTGTTGTCGAAGACTGCAATCTGTTGATGAAGACTGTCTCTGTTTTTGAAGACTAATCTGTTGTTGAAGACTATCATCTGTTGTGGAAGACTATCATTTGTTGTGGAAGACTATCATCTGTTGTTGAAGACTATCATCTGTTGTGGAAGACTATCATCTGTTGTGGAAGACTATCATCTGTTGTGGAAGACTATCATTTGCTGTTGAAGACTATCATCTGTTGTCGAAGACTGGCATCTGTTGTGGAAGACTATCATCTGTTGTGGAAGACTATCATTTTTTGTGGAAGACTATGGTCTGTTGTTGAAGACTATCATCTGATGTGGAAGACTATCATCTGTTGTGGAAGACTATCATTTGTTGTGGAAGACTGGCATCTATTGTTGAAGACTATCATCTGTTGTTGAAGACTATCATCTATTGTGGAAGACTATCACCTGTTTTTGAAGACTGTCATCTGCTGAGGAAACTGCTGAAGGCTTCTCACCTGTGGAGAGGTCCCAGAAACTGCGTTCAGCCATTAGATGATACTTATGACAGGTCTATATTGCGGCATTGGCAAGAGCCAGGGTGGGGCTTCAAAACAACGAGGTAGTTCCTTTCAAGATCACTATACCTGTGTGGTATTTCCCTTTATGATAACTATACATGTGTGGTAGTTTAATTTAAGATTACTATACCTGTGTGATATTTTACTGTTTTTGATAATATATCCATGTAGTAGTTTCTTTAAGGATTACCATACCTGTGTGGTAGTTTCCTTTGATTTTCATAGTAAAAAGCAAAAAAGTAAAAGTAAAGGACCCTTTTCCACGCCTTTAGGCGTATATGGCATATAGGGCTAGACCAATATTTTTTATACACCAATCGGCACATTATGGGTGATGAGGTCAGCATCGCGCCGGTCGCCTTTACTTCCCAGGACCGCACCCGGTACTCACTCAAGGCTGGGTCGACCTGGGAGCCAAGGTCATTTTTGAAAAAAGTCCGGCTCCGCCAGGGAGCGAACCCTCGACCTTCCGATCCGCGGCCTGCGTCTAGCCGCTCGGCCACGGCGACTCCCTCTTTTCATACCTGTGTGGTATTTCCCTTTAAGATTATTAAACCTGTGTGGTAGTTCCCTTTAAGATTACTATAACTGTGTGGTATTTCCCTCTATGATAACTATACATGTGAAAGCTCCCTTTAAGATTACTAAACCTGCATGGTAGCTCCCTTTATGATAACAATTTATGTGCGGTATTTCCCTTAAAGATTACTATACCTGTGTATGCCATTTACCTTTAAATCAACTGCCCCTGTGTGCTATTTCCCTTTGAGATAACTATTCCTGTGTGGCATTTCCTTTCAAGATAGCTATTCCTGTGTGGTATTTCCCTTTAAGATAACTATACCTTTGTGGTATTTCCCTTAGAAATTACTATACCTGTGTTTTATTTCCCTTATGATAACTATACCTGTGTGTTAGATCCTTTTAAGATTACTATACATGTGTAGTATTTTCCTTTATGATAACTATATCTCTGTGGTAGTCACCTTTAAGATTACTATACCTGTGTGGAATTTCCCTTATGATAACTATAACTGTGTAGTAGATCTCTTTAAGATTACTATAACTATGTGGTAGTTCCCTTTAAGATTACTATACCTGTGTGGTATTTCCCTTTAAGATAACTATACATGTGTGGTAGTTCCCTTTTAAGATTACTATAACTTTGTGGTAGTTCCCTTTAATATTACTATTTGTGTGTTGTATTTACCTTTATTATTACTATACCTGTGTGTATAGTTTGAGTGTGTATAGTTTGACCGTCTGCAGTTTGTGTGTAATTTGTCTGTGTGTAGTTTGACTGTGTATAACCTTGGTAATCTTGGTAATCTTAACTTCAGCTTCATAGCAAACGGGTCAGCCCATTGTTGCTCCGCCCCTGTGCCAATGAAAAACACACAGAATGTTTATCACAGTCCCTTGTTGAAAGATTGACAGACTGCTGTTTCAGCATATGCATTAGCATACACACGCATTAAAAGCATACGGTAGATATCCGTAGTGCTAACACAAACAGTCTGACATAAAAAATGCAGTTCATCATCGATGGTAGCAGAAGTTACCAACAGAACAGCACTTGCACACGCAATCAATTTTAATCACATAATGGCACCACCAATATCGCGACAACATGCATCGCGCCATTTTCTGAATCTACAAATACACCATCACGTTGGTCACAGTCGAAAAACATTCCAAATGAAATCCGCAGCTCACAGTGTCACGCCATGCACTCATCTCAGAAGCTTGGCGACGAGTTATATCCTTTCAATCTACAAATCGAGCAAAAATGCAACGGCTACCGTCTGTCAGAAAAAAAAAATTGCCACGACTCAAAACAGTGGCCGTGCCTAGCGTCCATTTGTAGTTAGAAAGTGTGTAGTTTGACTGTGTGTAGTTTGACTGTGTGCAGCAGCATTTGAGTGTCTCCACTTTGTGTTGCAGAGTTCCTCTGGCACACCAACAGACATGAACCCACACCCGCCATGTGGCTGCCCACCGAGCCCAACGAGACCGGGTTCTGTGTCCGACTGGCCACCGAAGCACTGACCGGAGCCAATGCTAGAGGCACCACCTATCTGTTAGGCGATCATCCATGCACACATGACTACAAAGTAATCTGTGAGAAAAACGCAGGTACTCGATGGTTTTCTGTCTTGCAACTCTGGATTTTTCCTGTCATTCAAATACGAGCTAATTATTTCTTTCTAATTTCCAATTCCAGCTTTTCATTTTCCTATAATTGCTTGGTCGGCTCAGTCAATGCGAACGCTTCGTAATGCCGGGGTGCCGGGTTCGATCCCAGCTGCGGGCCATGCGCTATGCGTTGGTTTCGACAATGGTATCAGGGGCCAACCGTTACTGGACGTAAATTTACCTAGAGAAACCACACAACAGACAGGGGCTGCTTGGGTTGGTTCTGCAACGTCCTGTAAAGGATACGCAACTAACCTATAATTGCTTGACGAGATAGCTGAATAGTTTTAATAACCTTTGCTGCTCTATGGCAGCCAATCATGGAATGTGAACGAACAAATTAGGAAGAGCTTGAAGACAGCGCAGATATTGTGTCTGTTAAGTTAAATTATTAGACAGTAACTAACAATGTTTTGGAAAAGCTAACAAAGTAGAAAGTTAAATCAAAAAATAATGTTATTTTTAAAAAAATTGTGTTATGTGGCGAGACGAGAGGAAACAGAAAATATGGCGAATGCTGCGCTAGACAAGTTGTTGACGATGATGTGGCGGAGAAACTAATAGCAATTCTTACACGTCCATGCTTGCACCGGAATCTGTCAACTTGTCCATCTATGCTCGCACTTACTCGTCACCGGAATCTGTCAACTTGTCCATCTATGCTCGCACTTACTCGTCACCGGAATCTGTCAACTTGTCCATCTGTGCTCGCACTTACTCGTCACCGGAATCTATCAACTTGTCCATCTGTGCTCGCACTTACTCGTCACCGGAATCTATCAACTTGTCCATCTGTGCTGTGCTCGCACTTACTCGTCACCGGAATCTATCAACTTGTCCATCTGTGCTGTGTCCAAAAAAGCATTAATTTGTACATCTGTGCTCTCGCTGACTCTGTCCGCAGATTTATCAACGTGTCCATCTGTGCTCTCACTGACTCTGTCCTCATTTCTATCACCTTGTCCATCGGTGCTCTCACTGACTCTATCCACATATCTATCAACATATCCATATGTGCTCCCATTGACTTTGTCCAAAGATCTACCAACGTGTCCATCTGTGCTATCACTGACTCTGTCCAGAGATCTACCAACTCGTCCATCTATGCTCTCATTGACCCTGTCCACAGATCTATCAACTTATCCATCTGTGCTGACATTGACTCTTTCCACAGATCTATCAACTTGTCCATCTGTACTCTCACTGACTCTGTCCTCATATCTATAAACTTGTCCATCTGTGCTCACACTGACTCTGTCCACAGATCTACCAACTTGTCCGTCTGTACCATCATTGACTCTGTCCACAGATCTATCAACTCGTCCATCTGTGCTCTCGCCGACCCTGTCCACAGATCTATCAACTTGTCTATCTGTGCTCTCACTGACTCTGTCCACAAATATATCAACCAGTCCATCTGTGCTTCCATTGACCCTGTCCACAGATCTATCAACTTTTCTGTCTGTGCTCCCATTGACCCTGTCCACAGATTTATCAACTTGTCCATCTGTCCTCTCAGTGACTCTGTCCACAGATTTATCAACTTGTCCATCTGTGCTCTCGCTGACTCTGTCCACAGATCTATAAACTTGTCCATCTGTGCTCCCATTGACCCTGTCCACAGATCTATCAACTTGCTCATCTGTAGTCTCATTAACTCTGTTCACAGATCTATCAACTCGTCCATCTGTGCTCTCGCCGACTCTGTCCACAGATCTATCAACTCGTCCATCTGTGCTCTCACCGACTCTGTCCACAGATCTATTAACTTGTCCATCTATGCTCTCACTGACTGTCAAGTGAAACATTAATGTCCCCATCTGTGCTTCCATTGACTCTGTACAGGGATGTATTAACTCATTTATATCTGTATCATCATCGTCATCATCCTTTGTGCGCCGTTAGACGTCACTTATGGCTGGCATTCAATTCCCCCTCTCCGCTCTATTGCATGCAACTTTTTCGATTGATGACATTGAATTCAGCCTAGCATTGTTGACATAGACAAATCTGATCTCATTCTTCGTCCTAAAACTGCGACATGTGTTAGTGTGTGAACACATCAGTGACTGTATGGTGGAGTGACACTTGCACACATCAGTGACTGTATGGTGCAGTGACACTTGCACACATCAGTGACTGTATGGTGCAGTGACACTTGCACACATCAGTGACTGTATGGTGCAGTGACACTTGCACACATCAGTGACTGTATGGTGGAGTGACACTTGCACACATCAGTGACTGTATGGTGGAGTGACACTTGCACACATCAGTGACTGTATGGTGCAGTGACATTTGCACACATCAGTGACTGTATGGTGCAGTGACACTTGCACACATCAGTGACTGTATGGTGCAGTGACATTTGCACGCATCAGTGATTTTCTGGTGACACTTGCAGACAGTGGCAGAGATAAGTTGCTGGGTTACACAAGTTCCATACTTGTCACTCGTACAATATAGAAGTTCACAGAATACCTTCCCTGTACAGAGAGCATAGTGTAGTGTGTAGACAGCAGTTTGTAGTGTGTAGACAGCAGTGGGTAGTGTGTAGACAGCAGTGTGTAGTGTGTAGACAGCAGAGGGTAGTGTGTAGACAGCAGTGTGTAGTGTGCAGACAGCAGTATGTAGTGTGCAGACAGCAGTGTGTAGTGTGCAGACAGCAGTATGTAGTGTGTAGACAGCAGTGGGTAGTGTGTAGACAGCAGTGGGTAGTGTGCAGACAGCAGTGTGTGGTGTGCAGACAGCAGTATGTAGTGTGTAGACAGCAGTGGGTAGTGTGTAGACAGCAGTGTGTGGTGTGCAGACAGCAGTATGTAGTGTGTAGACAGCAGTATGTGGTGTGTAGACAGCAGTATGTGGTGTGTAGACAGCAGTATGTGGTGTGTAGACAGCAGTATGTAGTGTGCAGACAGCAGTATGTAGTGTGCAGACAGCAGTATGGAGTGTGCAGACAGCAGTATGTAGTGTGTAGGCAGCAGTATTTGGTGTGTAGACAGCAGTATGTGGTGTGCAGACAGCAGTATGTAAAGTGCAGACAGCAGTATGTGGTGTGTAGACAGCAGTATGTAGTGTGTAGACAGCAGTGGGTAGTGTGTAGACAGCAGTGGGTAGTGTGCAGACAGCAGTGGGTAGTGTGCAGACAGCAGTGGGTAGTGTGCAGACAGCAGTGGGTAGTGTGCAGACAGCAGTATGTAGTGTGTAGACAGCAGTGGGTAGTGTGCAGACAGCAGTGTGTGGTGTGCAGACAGCAGTATGTAGTGTGTAGACAGCAGTGGGTAGTGTGTAGACAGCAGTGGGTAGTGTGTAGACAGCAGTGTGTAGTGTGCAGACAGCAGTATGTAGTGTGTAGACAGCAGTATGTAGTGTGTAGACAGCAGTGTGTAGTGTATAGACAGCAGTGGGTGGTGTGTAGACAGCAGTGTGTAGTGTGTAGACAGCAGTTTGTCGTGTGTAGACAGCAGTGGGTAGTGTGTAGACAGCAGTGTGTAGTGTGTAGACAGCAGTGGGTAGTGTGTAGACAGCAGTGTGTAGTGTGCAGACAGAAGAATGTAGTGTGCAGACAGCAGTGTGTAGTGTGCAGACAGCAGTATGTAGTGTGTAGACAGCAGTGGGTAGTGTGTAGACAGCAGTGGGTAGTGTGCAGACAGCAGTATGTAGTGTGTAGACAGCAGTGGGTAGTGTGTAGACAGCAGTGTGTGGTGTGCAGACAGCAGTATGTAGTGTGTAGACAGCAGTATGTGGTGTGTAGACAGCAGTATGTGGTGTGTAGACAGCAGTATGTGGTGTGTAGACAGCAGTATGTGGTGTGTAGACAGCAGTATGTAGTGTGCAGACAGCAGTATGTAGTGTGCAGACAGCAGTATGGAGTGTGTAGACAGCAGTATGTGGTGTGTAGACAGCAGTATGTGGTGTGCAGACAGCAATATGTAGTGTGCAGACAGCAGTATGTGGTGTGTAGACAGCAGTATGTAGTGTGTAGACAGCAGTGGGTAGTGTGTAGACAGCAGTGGGTAGTGTGCTGACTGCAGTGGGTAGTGTGCAGACAGCAGTGGGTAGTGTGCAGACAGCAGTGGGTAGTGTGCAGGCAGCAGTATGTAGTGTGTAGACAGCAGTGGGTAGTGTGCAGACAGCAGTGTGTGGTGTGCAGACAGCAGTATGTAGTGTGTAGACAGCAGTGGGTAGTGTGTAGACAGCAGTGGGTAGTGTGTAGACAGCAGTGTGTAGTGTGCAGACAGCAGTATGTAGTGTGTAGACAGCAGTGTGTAGTGTGTAGACAGCAGTGGGTAGTGTGTAGACAGCAGTGTGTAGTGTGTAGACAGCAGTGGGTAGTGTGTAGACAGCAGTGTGTAGTGTGCAGACAGCAGTATGTAGTATGCAGACAGCAGTGTGTAGTGTGCAGACAGCAGTATGTAGTGTGTAGACAGCAGTGGGTAGTGTGTAGACAGCAGTGGGTAGTGTGCAGACAGCGGTGTGTGGTGTGCAAACAGCAGTATGTAGTGTGTAGACAGCAGTGGGTAGTGTGTAGACAGCAGTGTGTGGTGTGCAGACAGCAGTATGTAGTGTGTAGACAGCAGTATGTAGTGTGCAGACAGCAGTATGTAGTGTGTAGACAGCAGTATGTAGTGTACAGACAGCAGTATGTGGTGTGCAGACAGCAGTATGGAGTGTGCAGACAGCAGTATGTAGTGTGTAGACAGCAGTATGTGGTGTGGAGACAGCAGTATGTGGTGTGCAGACAGCAGTATGTAGTGTGTAGACAGCAGTATGTGGTGTGGAGACAGCAGTATGTGGTGTGCAGACAGCAGTATGTAGTGTGCAGACAGCAGTATGTGGTGTGTAGACAGCAGTATGTAGTGTGTAGACAGCAGTATGTAGTGTGTAGACAGCAGTGTGTGGTGTGTAGACAGAAGTTTGTAGTGTGTAGACAGTAGTATGTAGTGTGTA